GCCCAGGCGGGTCTCGAACCCATGGGCTCAGGCAATCCACTCACCTCAGCCTCCTAAAGCACGGGATTACAGGCTGAGCCGTCGAGCCTGGCTTCTTTCTTTCTTTTTTTAAAAGATTGTTTTGGTTATTCTCAGTCCCTTGTATTGCCAAAAAATTGTGAAAATTTATTTTTGCGAAAAAAGCAGGTAGGATTTTGATAGAGCACGTTAAATCTATAGATAAATTTGGAGAATATTTTCATCTTAACAATATTAACTATTCTGCTACATAAACATGACATGACATTCCATCTATTCTTAAATTTCCTTAGGCCAGGCTCAGTGGCTCAGCCTGTAATCCCAGCACTTTGGGAGGCCGAGGCAAGTGGATTGCCTGAGCCTGCGGGTTTGAGACCAGCCTGGGCAACTTGGCAAGACCTTGTCTCTACAATAAATAAAAAATTAGTCAGGCGTAGTAGCATGTGCCTGTAGTTCTGGCTACTTGGAAGACTGAGGCAAAAGGATCGCCTGAGCCCAACAGGTTGACACTGGGGTGGCCGTGAGTATGCCACTGCACTCCAGCCTAGGCGACGGAGTAAGACTCCAACTCAAAAAATAAATAAATAAATTTCCTTCAAAGATATTTGGTATCTTTGAGAGTATAAGTTTTACATTTATTTTATTGTGTGTAATCCTAAATATTTGTATTTTTGATGAAGTTGGGTATGGAATTCCTTTCTTAATTTCATTTTCAAATTGTTCATTGCTAATATATAGAAATATAATTGATTTTTGTATATCAATCTTATATCCTGCAACCTTGCTGAACTCATTTATTAGTCCTAATATTTTTTAGTGGATACCTCAGGGTTTTCTATATATATAAAAGATCATATCATCTGCAAGTAGTAATAGTTTTACTTCTTCAAAGATAGAATTCTTAAGGACTGGTCCAGAGCATTTCTATTTCATTAGAAAGGTTCTAAAAGAATTTTTGTGGTTGGCCTGGAAAAATACTAAAGCAATTATTCTCCAAAATTTATTGATCCCAATTTCAAAGATGAAGTGTTTGAAGCAGACTTGAATTTAAGTCTGATATGGCCGAGAGAGTCTGTCCATAGCTGTAGTAGTTTGTTAGGACAGTAATAACAAAATTCCACAGACTGCATGGCTTAAACAACAATTTCTTTTCTTTTCTTTTTTCTTTTTTTTTTGAGTTGGAGTCTCACTCTATCGCCCAGACTGGAGTGCAGCGGCACACTCCCAGCCACTGCAGCCTCGACCTGCTGGGCTCCCGCGATCCTTCCGCCTCAGCCTTCCAAGTAGCCGGAACTACAGGCGTGCACTACCACGTCCAGCTAATTTTTGATTTATTGTAGAGATGAGGTCTTGCCAAGTTGTCCGGGTGGGTCTCTGAACCCGCGGGCTCAGGCAATCCACTTACCTCGGTCTCTTAAAGTGCTGGGATTACAGGCTGAGCCACCTTTTCTAACAGCTCTAGAGCAGTCCAAGATCAAGGTATCAGCAGGTTTGGTTTCTACCAAGGTTTCTCTCTTTGCTGAAGAATTTTGCCTTCTCACTGTGATCTCACATGATCTTTCCTCTGTGCGGACACAGCCTTGGTGCCTCTCTGTGCATCCAAATTTCCTCTGCTTATAAGAACACCAGTCATATTAGATTAGGGCCCACTCTAACAGCCTCACTTAAACTTAGTCACCTCTTTAAAGGTCCTGTCTCCAAATACAGTCACATTCTTAGGTACTGGGGGACAGGACTTTGACATAAGAATTTGCAGGGGGACGGGGGCACAATTCAGCCCTTCTCTGAGAGATCTGATCTCCTATTAGCTGCAACTAGTGAAGCCAGAATTTGTTAAATAACCCATTTGCCATGACCACCCAATGATGGTGATCTGCAGCCAGAATGAAAAGGCCCTGTCCATTGTCCCTGAGCTAAAGGACCCTTGTGCCCTCATTTCAGTCAGGGTCTACTCTAAAGCCACACCAGGGAGAGTTGATGATCAGCCATTAGCCTCAGACATGCACACAACACCTAGGATTTTGATGTGTACTACCTGCTTTAAAAACCAAAGCTGGCCAGACACGGTGGCTCAGGCCTGTAATCCCAGCACTTTGGGAGGCTGAGGCGAGAGGATTGCCTGAACCCAGGGGTTCAAGACCAGCCCAGGCAACTTGATGAGACCTTGTCTCTACAATATATCAAAAAATTAGCCAGGCATGTGCCTGTAGTTTTGGCTACTTGGAAAGCTGAGGCAGGATCACCGGAGCCCAGCAGGTCGACGCTGGGGTGGCCGTGAGCGTGCCACTGCACTCCAGCCTGAGTGACAGAGTGAGACTCTGACGCAAAAATAAAAAATAAATAAAAACCAAAGCTAAAGTCATTTCAGATCCTGCTTGTGTAAAGAGTATCGCAACATACTTGCATAAGGAGTCCTTTCGTGAAGTGAACTTTGAAGTTCTGAAATGCAAAATCTCACTCTAACTTTGTTCTCTTTTGAACCAAGAGTCAGTTTTAGAACCTCAAACTATAGCTACTCCTTGCTCTGTAATTCTTGCTAAAGCCAAAAGCAAGATGGCTGCTGCTCTCAATTGGTTATATCAGTAGGAACTGAGATACAAGGTTCCTGTCCAGGTCATTCGAACTGAGGAGCCATCCTACCTCAGCTGGTGGAATTATCTCCTTCTTTCCTCTGCTCCTTTTTCAACCTTTATTTTTAACTCTCTTGGCCTCTGAGTGTTTTTATTGACATCGGGCCACAAGCCCTTTTAGGAAGCAGGCAGTTATAAATCACCCACAAGGAAATCAATAAAAGTCAGTCCAATCCACAGTTAGATCGATTTGCCCGCAGATAACCAGGATCCTGCAGGCTCAGTATTTGCCCCCATGAGGGTGTCTGCAAGGAGGGGGAAGGGAGAGTGAGGCATTGCCTCCGAAAGAGGGGACAGGGTTCAGCTCCCAGTGGCTCGGGGAAGGGATGGACTTTGGCCTTCATCCATGCACTTTTCATCCGGCCTCAGGGGAGAGCTCAGTGTTTCCATTTCATCCAGCTCAGAGTTTTCCATGTCTGTGGCATTTTCTTATCTTCTGAGGATCTACTTCAGGGCTAAAGTATCTTCTTTAAGCCTCAAGAAAGGGCAGCAGGAATGAGTGGCTATATTTGCTGGGAAGGGCAGAGAATATGTTCCCAAAGCACAGAGGAATGGAAGACAGAAGAATCTCTTTCAAGTTGTCTGTGGTCAGCTACGGCTTTTGGTCACCAAGAGTTGATGGAGGCCATCCCTCTGGCCAGGACTCCAGGGAGTCCAAAGTTGGAAGATTGTTGTACTGAAGCTGAAAGCTAGGCCCAGAGAGAGGCGTGACTAGCCCAAAGCTGCAGAGTGTTTTCATAACCAGTTCACAAAGGAATGGTCTCACTGTTTTGAAATCCCAGTTCTTATCCCCAAAGGAGCTTTACTCAGGAAGTGCGAATTCATGGGTAGCAGAAACTAAACAAAATGTAAATCTGCAGAGAAAAACTACCAGTCCACTAATTCGTATATTAAAAAATGAGTCTGGTCTACCAGATTGTACCCTGTAAGGACCATGGGGGTCTTTGGACCATTGGATCATCCATTTGTTCTGTCTTGGATGATGGGAGTATACTAATCTTTGAAAAGACAATTTCCATCAGGGAAGAAAATCCCAACTCTAAGACCCAGAATGCTAGAGCTGGCTGGCAGGGGGCAGTAAGACTGTGATACACTGAGGCCAGGAGGTAGGGGCAGGCTCAGAACCCATGCTGCTGGAAACACTCAGCTCCCACAGTGCTTTATTTTAAACCCTAGGTGTTCCTGGTTTTCCCTGGTTGAGCATCTCAATTACCTCAGCCCTGATCCTCCAGAAAGACTTGCCCTTCTTTCTCAGGAACTTTCAGGAGATGTGTGTGTGTTTAAACTGGGTTAAAGAATTATTCACTTCGACACAGGCCAAGCCCTAATTATTTATCAAGTGTTGGAGATACAAAGATGTGAAAGACTGGATTTTAAAGGGTGAATAAGAGTTTGCCATGAAGATCCTTGAGTTGCTATCAGCCAAATGGGAAAGGTCAACCTGAAAACAAAAAATTGCAATGATGTTAGAGCAGGGTTGGCAAAACTTTTCTGAAAAAAGACAGATAGTAAATATTTTGGCTTTGTAGTTCAGATAGTGTCTGCCTCAACTACTCAAATGTCCCTTGTCACATGAAAATAGTCACTGGCAATGTATAAATGAATTTATTTACAAAAATAACCAGTGGATCAGTTTTGGCCCATGGGCCATAATTTGTTGAACTCTGTGTTCGAAGAATGCCATTATAATACAGGAAGAGGCTAGGCTCGGTGGCTTAGCCTATAATCCCAGCACTTTGGGAGGCTGAGGCGAGTGGACTGCCTGAGCCCACGGATTCAAGACCAGTTTGGGCAACTTGGCAAGACCTCATCTCTACAATACATAAAAAAATTAGCCAGATATGGTAGTGTGCGCCTGTAGTTCTGGCTCTTTGGAAGGCTGAGGCAGAAGGATTGCTGGAGCCCAGCAAGTCGATGCTGGGGTGGCCATGAGTGTGCCATTATACTCCAACCTGGGCGACAGAGTGAGACTCCAACTCAAAAAATAATAATAATAATATAGAAAGAATAATAATATTAAAAGTTACCATTCTGATGGTCACTTTCTGCTAGACCCTATAGTAGACACTGTATATAAATTTACATAATTCACATACTTTTCAGATTTATATATTTTTCATAACAATTTTTGAGGACATTGAAATTCAAGAGCCAAAGTCACAGTGCTGGGTAGTGGCACATACAAAGTCTGTGTCCCCAGCTAAACAGTTTAAAGTGCTAAAAGGAAACGGGCCAGAAGGGGTTAATCTAGTGAGGACTGTGAGGCGGCTCCTGGAGAATGAGTAGGGTCTTCCATGAATTGGAGTCAGATGGGGGAGATGGCCTTCCAGGCACAAGGAGGGGCACTTAGGGTTGATAGCACATGGAATATTCTGGAAACTGGGGCTGGGGTTTGAGATGCCTTGGTCCTAGTGACTGGAGAAGAACCAAGAGAGGTTGGCTGTCTTAGAGCAGAAAGAGCCCTGCATGCACACCCAGGGATCTGGATTTCATCTATAGACCAGGGGTTCTCCAGCTCTGGTCTTTGGGATATGCTGTGTCAGACTCCCCTGCGGGACTGCTAGCCTGCAGACTCCTGGGCCCCATTCCCAGATATTCTGATTCAGTAGCTCTGCGAGGGCCCAGGAATCTGCATTTTATCAAGCACCTCAGATGATTCTAGCCAACAGCAGGATTTGGGAGCCAGGGCACAGAGAGCCACTGACATATTTTCACCAAGGGAGAATTATGATCCCAGTTATGTTTTAGAACATCCTCATGAGTTGCATGAAAAATGAATGACTGCAGCAGAAGCACCAGCTCTCCCAGGAGTCCTTTTTCTGATCAGTTATCGGCTTCTCTCATCCAGAAATGCAGAGCAAACAAGAAGCAGGCTGCAGAATGGCTAGATTTTGATGAGGTGGGAATTGGGCGTCAACTGAGGCAGTAAGAGGGTATCAGCACCACCTGTGCTGCCCCCCCCTTCCTGCTCTCCTTCCTGCCCTGGGGCCCCTGCACCACCTGGTCCTTCCAGTCCTGACCACAGACTGGGCAGATCAGAGTTGCCCCAAAGCCTGCCCACCACAGCCCAGTTGGCCCTGAAAGGCCTTTGCTTCTCCTAACTCTGCCAACTCTAGTGGAAGGACCCGGACAGGGGCTCCAGAGGAGGAATGCAAGGAAAGAACTTCAAAGGAAAAGCCAAGAGAACAATGTCCAGACCTTTGGGGATGGATCCAGGGTGATCCCAAATTAGATGCTTAAAAAAAAAACTTCTGTTATTTCATTTTACCTTGCCATGTTCAAATATCTACATTCCTCCAAATTCTATTGTATCACTAATGAAAAAATATTTTATAATTAGGAAACATCGGCTGTGGGTACAGGAAAGAGTCTCCTGGGCCACCCTGGGAAAATGTTCCCCCAGGTGCAGGAAGACCCGGTCTCTTCACTCAGGCATCAGTGATGCTGCTGGGCCATCCAAGAAAACCTCATCACCAGCCAGTGATTTCCCAGTGCCCTGTGTGCCTCGTGACTGAAACCTGGGCCTGGAAGAGGGTCTGCTCACCTGCCTGCCCCCTCACAACCCAGAATGGCTCCTTAAGAACCTGGTTTCTTGTGCACACAGCAGGTTCTGGGGTGTCTATCTCCCATCAGGCCTCAACCTTAACCTGCCCTAAGAGCTCTCGTGACTCCGACTTTTATAAAGACAAGAAAAAGCTTCATGTGAATGACTCAGCTGAACCCCTGGGACGAATTCTGTGCTGTTTACAAACAGTTAAGTAGAGATATTATACATACAGCAAACTCAGATAGAACATAATGTGAGCCTGACCATGAAGGCAATGCCGTCTCCATGGTGAACTGGTGAAGCCTTAGCCAGAAAAACCTCCCCTGGTCCCGTGTCCATGTTTCTTCTTTGGTGGTGGTTATTGTTGAAGTTGACAATGCTGCTACTGCTGATGCTTGGTCCTGGATTGTTCTAGAAGCTGATGTCATTGCGTTTTGAGCACACCCCTGGGTTTGGAGTCAGACTACCCTGAGCACAAATCCTGTTTACATTACTTAGTCATTGTGATGCCTGGAACAAATTACTTCACCTCTTTGAGCTTCAGTTTTCTCACCTATAAAATGGGAATAATAGTACCGTGCAGAGCTATTATAAGGACTGAATAAGGCAAAGGATGTGAAGAGTCAGGTAGCATACCTGGTATAATAAACATCAGTTCTCTCCTGCTGATGCTACAAACCACTCCTAGAACAACCCTCCTCTCCATTGTGGAAAAATAACCACCCCCCCTTCCAGAAAGAAATTCTGTGTGGTCACTTCCTGTCTCATGTCATTAAGCTGGCACAGCTGCACATGCCCATTTAAGTAGCAGGACAGAATATATGTGACTCCCACCAAAGCTTGCTGTTGGGAGAGCCACTCCTAAGATCTTCTCTCCAACTTCCTCACCCCCACCTGCCCCTGCCATTCCACGTTGCTGTTCCCCATAGTCTGTTCTTGGCTTAGGCCTCAAGACTTGACTCCTGCTGCAATTTGCATAACTCAATAACCGAGAGGCTGCTCACTTTACACATGTTTTCTTGTGCACACACCCACCCTCCTGCAGTTCAGCTCAGAGTCTATTGGTGAAAAAAAAGACCCTGGCCAAGATCCACAGCTGCTCCTACCCTGCTGCTGGTCTCGGTGGGCAAGGCGTGAGCTTCCTCCCTGTCCTGAACATGGGAGTCCTCACCCTGAACTCTGGGGCCGGTGTCCCAAGCCAAGGGCCACTCAGCCAGTTGCTCAGGTCTTCGGGTCTGCTTTTCTGGGGAGAGTTGAGAGTCTGAGCTGATTAGTAGGTGGGTGAAGTGGTCACTTCTGGGAAGCAACAGTGTTTGAAAATCATTTGAAGGTTGACATTTGACTCAATAAACATGTCTTGACGTCCACCGCCTATCTTTTAGGCAGGAACATGGAGGTTGGTTTAAGCTAGTCCCTCCTCTGGAGCCCTAAGGGTTTAAGATGTGTGTGTTTACAAGGGAGGTGGGGGCAGGGTCAGGCATCCTGAAGGGGCAGGGGGAGGCTCAGTGTTTGGGCTGGGGTCCTGGTTGTATAACGAGGCCATCAATGTGTCAGGAAATGTGGAGGGAGGTGCAGGTTCTGAAGAAAGGAGCATGGCAATGCATTTAGTTGGGGGAAGAACAGGGCAAGCTCATCAGCTGTAGATCTGAGTTTTCCAGCTCAAACTCTTAGGTAAGCAGCAGAAAGGAGAGGCAAGAGAAAGCCTTTAGGGCCAAGAAAGACCCCTTACAGCCAGCTTTACAAAGGCTAGGCTGTTTACACAAGTTGGAACTCTTAATTGCAAATGCCAACACAAGCCAGCTTAAGAAAAAAGGGCTATGCCTCGATTCTCAAAACAAAAGCCCGGGGATATCAGGCATGGCCTCAGGACCTAGTTTCTTTCTGGCTCTTGGCTGTGCCCTGTTTCACATCAATTCCATCTTTAGACAAGTTCTTCACCATGGCAAGAGGGATTCTGTTTCTACCATCTGAAATTCACGGTCTGCAGTTGAGAGTAAGGATCTCTTTCCCAGGTTGTCCGGCAAAGCCTCATCGTGTCTCACAGTTCTGGTCAGGTCACATACTCACTCTCAGCCAGGCACCGAGACCAGGGGGATGGGATGCAAGGGTGTCCAGAGGCTTCCTCTGCTGCTGGGTCCTGCTAGTCCAACGGTGTGGCTGCTGTCAACAGGCAACAGGGACCCTGAACTCATGGGACTGAAAGTGGGGCACAGACTGGCAACTTAGCCCAATCCTTACTGTAGAGGTGGGGAGACTGAGGCCTGAGGGAATGCATTCCCACATCAGCAGTTAGCGTCACCATCTGAAGGCCCTGTCACTTCACTCCCAGAAGACCCTGTCCCTGAGTCCTTGTCACTTCACTCCCAGAAGGCCCTGTCCCCAAGCCCCTGTCCCAATCCTTCCTCAGCCTTTGGAAGCACATATGAGGCCAGACTCTGCCCTGTGCCCGGCCCTGGGTTATCGCGCCTATTTCCACAGCTTCTGAGAACTGGGATTCCCAGAGTGGAGTTGTACAGGGGTGGGGACCTGAGCCCTGGTACTCCCTCCCAGCCGGAAAAAGCTCTCTCTCTGGGCTTCGATGATCGCAATCCCAGCTGCTCCCTAGCTATCCTGGGGGTGCTATGAGGAGGACTTCCAGTTCCTCAGATAGAGGCTGTTCCTCAGCTGGGGTTGTCCTCCTTGTCAGCTTTGCCATCCCCGAGGTAGGACTGGGCTCTGAACAGTCAAGAGCCTGTCAGGAAACGTCTCCTACTACCTGTTCTGTCTCTGCTAAGGTTAGAGAAGAGCCGGAGTGAGCTCTTTCTAGGGAAAGGCTGAAGACCCTCTTGTGGGCACAGAAGACCCAGTTTTTAATCATGACTCTGTTTTCTACCTGTGTAATTGAGAGCAAGTCA